GGAATGCTCCTACTGTATTTCAGGGCAACGGTTAAAGGAAGCTGTGTGAAATACACGCACGTGGATGTGCTCTGGGCACAGTTCAGAGCTGGATCATCCCCTCTGGGAAGAATGGAGGGAACTCGGGACTGCAGAGTCACGGCGGTACAGCGAGGTGAGCAGCACATTTCTAGATAAGCTAGAGAAATGGGTGACACACTGAAGAGTGCACTGAGCACCAGCTCACAGCACCAAGTCAGAGAGACACTGGCCGACACCCCTACATGTGCATAAAGATAGGTACAGCGAGAGAGTAGCCTTCTGTCGTGGTTTTGATCCTGGCTGGCAGCAAAACACCACAACGATCGCTCGCTAGTCCTCCACAATCCTGGGAATGGGGAAAGACTTAAAGGGGGAAAGGGAAAAGAGACTCGTGGGTTGAGATAAGAACAATTTGATAACTAAACTGCAATAAAATGCAAAATAATAATAGTAATATATACAAACACACAAATGAGTGACACACAGTGACACTGCTCACCACCCCATGGCCAAGGCTCAGCCCGTTCCCGCCTAACGGTCCCAGAGCAGGGAGAGTCCTGAAACCACCATCCCAGAACAGAGATAAGAGCCCGAGTGTCCACGCCTGAGAGCTGACCAAAAGGGTGAGACAACCCCAAGAGAGATGACCTGGAGCAACAAGGAATGACCCAGAGCGAGAAAGGATGACCCCCAGCAAGAGCGAACACTTCTGGACAGAGCCTCATCTGGAACAGACCGTCGGCCAGTTTGGGTCTCAGCCCTAAACCTGAGGTCGAATCCTGGGCTGGTCACTGGGGCTGTGCTCCCTCCCAGCTCCTCCTGCCCCTGCAGACACGGGCACAGCAGAGAAGCTGGAAAGTCCTTGAGTGTCCTGGCAGCAGCTCTGCCCATCAGTGTGTGATCAGCTTCTCCTCAGCACAAACCCAACCAGCCTCTCCCTGGCTGCTGGGAAGAGGGGTCACTCTGTCCCAGATGACACCAGGACGCCTTGTCACACCATGGTGATGATAATGGACCTCGTCTCTCAAACTGACTTCTGGGTCCAAGTCCTTCACAAAACACCCTGCTTCAGAAAGCTGTTAAGACTTCTTTCTTCTCCAAGCAAGGTAAATTGTACAGATTCCCACCACAATGCTCTCCTACCATGCTTTAAAACAAAAACTTTCTTCTGTAGAGGCTGTGTAGGTATTCAGGCCCTTTGCTGAAATTAGGTTACGTCTCAGCTTGTAAAACATAACCAAATTCTTCACCTTCATTTCAGAGACCTCAGTAACCCCCTGGATACTACACTTGAAAGTTCAGCACCTCTCCTGTCTCTGGAGCAATCTTTCAACACTACTTCAGAACAAAAGAAAACCTTCCTTGGAGAAGAGAAACAAAAATGAAGCTTTAAAATGAAAGCGAACAATAGGAAAGTGAAGACTCTTCAATTCTTGCAGACCGTGGCACAGTGGAGTAGTACAACTACAACAGTTAAAAGCCTTGTGACAATTTGGAAATACTTGGTTCATACCTGTCTCCATTTCTATCGAATAACCAAGAAGTTACACAGATTAACATGCTTACAAATTACTCATTTAGTTTTAGAAATTGTCTCTACACTAGCTGCTTCTGCCAGATTTGTAAATGAGCAACAAAGTCTTTGATTGTGTAAGAAAAGCTAAAGGGAAAAGGAGTATGAACAGATGTTTCCTCAAAGAGTGAGAAGAAATATCCCCCTGAAAACATAAGATCATGATGCTCCCACAAGAGCATCAGCAGCACAGGGCAGAGACACACCATCTCTACTGTTACCGTGCTGACCTGAAGGGTCCTTGACTTGCCACAAGCTGGCAGCTGAGACAAGGCAGCTGACATTTGCAGAAGGCCCATCATGATCTAACAGGAATCCAGGTGCAATCTAACTAGGAAAAGCAGTGAGACAGGTCTACTGACTACAACAAGAAACAGTATTTCCCCTCAATCTCCTTGAGGCAGCAGTTCCTGCAAGTGTTCCTTTATCACATTTGCCAACCGTGGTTAAGTTCTCCTGACTTGTGATGTACGCACCTCCTTCTCAGGAACCCTCCAGAAACCAAGTGCTTCAGCCACTCACCAGAGATTACCTTGAATCAGTGACTTACCGTCTTGTAGAATCACCAACCTCAAATTCCCTGCGTGAAGCACAGGTACGCTCGTGCACTTTTACTGACAATGTCCCAAGCCAATGTGATCAGCCACCAAAGCCACCCAGAGCTAAACTCAGAGGACAAATGTCCTCTGCCGTTATACCCTGCGGTGCTCCTGTCCAGTGCTCTGGGAACACCAGCTAGCCTGGACCTCTCTGACCAGGACAGGAAGTACCTGGCTTGTGAACTGCAACAGACATTAGGATTAAAATAAGCACCTAGCAACTCTGCGCCATGACGACACCCAGCTCTGGTGACTCTGAGGAAATGGGTACCACAGGTACTAAAAGTTGCTCCAGCAAAATGTCTGTGCATTTTAAGGGTGAGAACCATCCATGTCTACAGTTCAGCTATCTGTGAGCTGCCTTGACTCCCTTAACGGCCAGTGAAACCCTGGTCTGTGCAACCATCGAGCTTACGGTGTGATTCATCTGACCAAACGTAGGGACTGATGATAGCAATTAAAAATGCCTAAATCCTTTGGCAGAGACATCCCAAAACACAGCAATATCACAAGACAGACAACAATAGTTATCGCCATCAAAAGATGAATAGAACAGAGATAAGGATTTCCCCACATTTTTCAGAAATCCATCTTTCCAGCATTGTATATTTCTACATATTGTTATTATTATCAATTTTATTGTAGTTATTAAATTGTTCTTATCTCAACCCATGAGTCTCTTTTCCCTTTCCCCCTTTAATTCTCTCATCGCCAGGAGTGGGGAGTGTGAGCAAGCGGCTGCGTGGTGTTCAGCTGCCAGCCCCATAAAACCACGACATCCCACCACACACTTCTTATTAAAAAGCTTTTTGTATCTTTGAGCTATTTACTCAAAATTTAACACCACTTTGAACAGTCCTTAAAATAAAAGACAAATATTTGTTATTAAGAGACAGGAAGATATACAGATGTCATTAACAGCATTCAGGGAAAGATAATATTGTTGAGGTGCATTAGACCCATGAGAGTATTATCTTTATTCCTAATCTTAAACACAAGTACTTTATGACAGTTTTGTGGTTACTCTCAGTGATGTTCCTCTGAATCAATATCTATCTGCAAGCTAGCCATTACTTCCCATTCTTCACTTGAACAAAAAAAAAAACCCAACCAACCAAAGAAAAAAAAAAACATAGCAGAACAAAACATAGCATTCAGCACTCCAGATACTAACTACCATGCAGGTGAGGACTGCTAGGCTGTCCAGCCACAAGAAAGCTTAAAGATGTTCCTAATAAGATGACAGAATGTAAAGGTTTCAGGTTTAGTTAAAATGGAGTTTGGGCCTTTCCCAGTATTCTCAGCTTGAAGCAGTGTACTGAAAAAAAATCATGTATTTATTTTACTTAGCCTGGTCATCATAAACACAGAAAAATGTGGGGTCTTTTTGGTAAAAAAATGATGCCCCCACCTTTAATGTCACTCTCTGGTCCCTCAGCCCCTGAAGGATGTTGGTCCCACTGCCAATAAGATCATCCATGCCACGATGGGCATTCTGGAGGGATTCATTAAACTGTAAGGTTTCGTCGATCGGTATGGTGGTGTCAGAGTCCTGTAGGGGAAACGCAGGGTCTTGGTTACCTTGCCTGCTCACTCATACTGCCCACACATAGATCCAGAAAAAGAACATGCAGAAACAAACGTGGCAAAAAACTTGACAGGACGTGAAGGATTATGTTTTAACCATTTTTTTTTCATAAGGATATTAACTACAACATTAATATTTGAGTGAAAAAAGTAATTTAGAGAAGCCTACAGGAAGGAAGCCAAAAGGCAAAGTTGTTGGGCTGTTCAACTGCAATTAGATCTTGAAGGATAAAAGGTCAGATTAAAAGTGGAGACTTTTTTTATAATCTCAGTTTCTGATATATGTAGGAAAGGGTATTACAAGAGAGAACATCAAAACTGACAGAAAGTGTTTAACAAGGAGTCATTTGATCGTTGGAAGTGAAAGATGCAATATAACATTTCTAAGTGAGAAGAGGCCCGCAAAACATAGCATCTGGGAGATGCCATTCTATAAATTTACAACATGGTGCAAATTTCTGATAGTGAGGGCAGACAGACATGAACCTAGTTCCCTGAGGGTCTGACTCACTCAACACCCAAGGCCTTATCTAAGAAAAAACCCATTTTTTTCCATAAAAAAATGCATTAGCTCAGCTAGAAACTATGACTCTTGAAATAACCAGATAAAATTCAGTAACCTGGGTTACACAAGAGGTCAGAGGATGTGATCACTATTGTTTTTCAAAGGCTTCCAGTTTAATCTTCTCTGGACACCATTCCATCAAGAGAGTCAAGATGACAGCTCATCACTCCCATGATTGTTTTATAAACAGGAATCATGATATTGGTAAGAGGTGAGTGAGGTAACACTGGCTTACCTGCTGCCAGGTACTCAGAACAAGAACTACCAAAAGGCAGAATTCATATTTAGGGCTGAAGATGGTTAACACCCTACACCTGACCGTCAGCTGTCGGTTACATGCACGTAACAACACCAGACTTGCTGCGAGGCAACTCAGGCGGTTACTGTAAAAAATGTTAACATGGGAAGGACATGTACAATCCAGCGTTAGGGGTTGAACTGCCTGGGTGGGTGTTCTGCTTACTGGAAAAGAATGAAGAGTGAAGGAGAGAGAGCTGTTAGCAGGCACAGGATCAGTTACTGGATGAAGAAGCTGCGACAGCATAGACATTGCGTAGATCAAAAGTTAACGAAGTACTAAGGTTGAAGCACTAAGGCTGAAACGAGGGTCTTGTCTTACACGAATCTGCAGAGCAGAAGCACGTGGATTTGCATCTGAATGATATTTACTCAATTTCATATTAGATATTTACTAAACTTCAAATCCCTAGGGATTCCATTTCCTATACAAGGAGTTTGCAGGGGGTTTTATACACCACAAAGCAGCAAGAAAAGTATCAAAGCAGGTTTTTGACCCTCCTCACAGGGAGACTAGATGGCATCCTATCTTTCATTTGCTGTTAGTGGTTTCTTCCAGAATGGTACAAGGGAAGGCTTTAGAGATGCAGACCACATTTATCTTTGAATTAAGCAAAATGTTCAGAACACTGCTACAACTTTCAAAAGCTGTTGTGTATGTTACAGTGATGTATTCAGGATGTTTACATGCTCAGTTGATATTTCTATTTAAGCAAACTGGGTAATGTATAAATAAAAACGATGTAAACTTCTAACCAAACAGGCCAGTAACTGACAAATAAATCATCATTTTCCTATTAAAGGGACATTGTACTTTAAAAGTCACACTTTGAAACATTGAGTTAAACACAAAATAATCATGGGGTTTTTTTTCATCTTGAGACACCTTTCAGCATCTAAAGGAGAAAAAAAATAACTCGCCATTTAATTTGCATTTGCAAGCCTGCTACTGCTCTTCTTCTTCCACTTGCACATGTTTTATTTCTGGACAAGTTTTCCTACAGGAAAATTTCTCCATATTTGCAGAGAAACACCACAGTGTTCTGAAAACAAATCAGGTTTCAGTGTTCAAGTCTTGTTTGCAATTTTGAAATAGTCAACAAAATGCTAGATGTCATCTTTACGTCAGGATTTGAGAAGTCCATTGAACTTCCCAAATCTCAAGAAAATAGGACTGCTCACATTCATTCTTCCTTGCCCTAACAGTGAATGACAACAGCAAAAAAAGAATGGTAGGTTATACGCCTTTAACAAAACAAACAAACAAACAAATCAAAAAAACAAACAAAAAACAACCACAAAACAAAACCAACAAAAACCACACAACAAAATAAAAACAAACAAACAAACAAACAAAAAAAAAGAGACTAGCTTTTGAGTAACAGAAAAGTGAAATGTGAAAGCAAACCTACAGTATTCAGAGCAAAATTCCTCTAGGAAATTGCACTGGGGGGATTTTCCAGTGGAGTTAGAAACTAAAAACAGGTGGAAACACATTCTTGTCATTAAAAGCTTTTGAATCATTTCTAGGTAAAAAACAAGAGGTTTTTTCGCCAGCTGTGTGATTTATATTTGGACAAATTTCAGTTTTCAGCATTGGACACTGATAGTGAG